ATGTTCTCACCACAATAAAAAAATTAAATGGACAAAGTAATAATTCATCGAGGATAATAACAACAGAAGAAACATGTGGTAGAGGCAAGAGTAGTAAATGGGGACAATTCAGGAGGCTTCCAGATGAGTCTGCTACCACCTAGTTTTGTAACTTTAAGAGGGTTTCTTAAATTTCCCATCATTTTCCTTTTTGTGAAATGACTAAATCTGGATAATCTCTAATGCTATCTTTAGCTCCAGTAGTGTGTGAAGTTATATATGAAACTATATTTATACAACAATGCCCCATGCCTTCCAATCTGTTTGCTTCTAAATCCATTTCACAATTATTCTCTAACAAGATCTATTTTTCTCTTTGAATTTTATTCTATTTTAGCCACTATTCTGCATTCCTCCATAATTCCATGCCATTCTTTTGCCAATCTATCCAATCAGTGTACTTTCTTAGCTGTCTTTATAGTCCCCTGAATATATTGTCTCAATTTGAGCTATAGATAAGAACTCTACAGTTATCAAGATGGACTCTGATTATATCTAAAAAGTTTGCTTCAGGATTCAACTTCAGCATGTTTTCCTAAGCATGCCTGCTTCTGCTCTTGCTTTCTTTCTTCAGTTCTTCATTTAATAACTATTTATTTCAGTGTTCCAGCAGTAAGCAAGACAGACATGGACCCTGGTTATGTTGTTCCAACTTTTCAGCTGCTTTTAGTATTTTCTCTTTGTTTGAACTGTAGAATTTTCAGGAGTAAAAACGTCCACAGAGCCAGGCAGGTAATGAAAACGGGTAAAGCAGGCCATAGACCTGGTGGAGACTGAGCAAGAAGGTCGAGACGGCTTGTTTGCTAGATGAACTAGAACTCTAGATTTTAAAGTGAACTCTGATTTACTGATTTTTGCAAAGAAGGCTAAACATTTCTTTTACGAATACTCCACATGATATACCTGTACCAATATTCCTAATACATGGGTACCCATGAAACATTTTCTCCAGTTCTCCATGCCTAGTTTCTTTACACTCTCACTTCATTCAATGCTTTATTAATATTTATGCCGCTTAACTTTTTCAGTCAGTGTCCTTTATTTACTCTAATCTTCTATTTCTAGTCAATGCAAGACATAAAGGTAAGGCGGCGCAAGATTAAAAATTGAGATTTTTGGCCGAGTGCAGTGGCTCACGCCTGTAATCCCAGCACTTTGGGAGGCTGAGGTGGGTGGATCACGAGGTCAGGAGTTCGAGACCAGCCTCACCAACATGGTGAAACCCCCTCTCTACTAAAAATAGAAAAATTAGCAGGGCATGGTGGCACGCCCATAATCCCAGCTACTCAGGAGCCTGAGGCAGGAGAATCGCTTCAACCCAGGAGGCGGAGGTTGCAGTGAGCTGAGATTGCACCACTGCACTCCAGCCTGGGCGACAGAGCAAGACTGTCTCAA